AGTAGAATTTCAGGGCTTGTTTGATGCAGGACGTGGAGGAGAGGGGCATCCTTTCCTCTTTTTTTTCTGGCCTTGAGCCTGATGTCCTGGTAAAAGACAGTGCTGTGAAAATCTGAGAATGGGCAAAATAGAACTGGGTGTCCATGGGACATCATGGTGGGTGTGTGGGAGGGGCGCCCTACAAATAACACAGGATGATGGCCGTTCCTGGTGGACATTTGCTGGGTGAGAGTTACCCCTTTGTCCCTCCTACCAGGACTGCAGGGGACAGCATGACCTCCTCCCCCTGTCACCTTAGACCAGCTCCACCCATGGCAACTATTAACACTGATCAGTCCTAAAGGTAGGTTTCTGAGCTCCCAGCCAGTGGAGTCTTCTAGAGCAGGGCGCCATCTGCTGGTTCCACCTTGCCCTGGAGAAAGCCAACTCTGAGAGGAGGTGGGACAGGCTGTGAGCCACCCGCCCACCCATCGTACCCCAAGAGAGACCTTCTACCCTGTGGCCTCACGGCTCCTGCCCGTGCACTTGCCCACTGATGCCTCTGCAAAGAGGGGGCTGGAATGTGGCTTACTTGGCAACCCTCCCCATCCCCTGCACAGCTGGCGGAGCTTAGACCCAGCTCCAGACAGGGCTCAGTTGGTCTGCTTGGTTTGGCGCATGCCTCCGGGCTGTCCCGCCTCACCTTCACTAAAACTGCTGAGGACAGCAGAATGGGGCCCAAGCTCTTGGCCGGAGCAGGTCTCCCGGTGGTAACCGGGCTGGCTGTGCCGCCGGCATCGCAGCCAAGGCCTGGCAGGCATAGGCTGCGGAAGCAAAACTGAAGGTGCTACAGGAGGGGTTGGCCTGTGACCCTCCACACTGGGAGAAGGTTCAGCAGGCCCGTCGGGGGGATCCTGACTCTGCAGCAGCCCAAGGGGCAAGCAGGTCCAGTGCCGCAGGAACGGCAGTCCCCTAGACTCTGCAAATCGGTGCCACTCGGGTGTGGTCTTCCATGCCTCAGTCAAGGAGACCTAGCAGTTTCACCCACCCAGCGAGCCCTTGTAGCAAGAGTAGAACTTCACCAGTGGAGGGGTCTAGTGTGGGCTGGCGAATGCTGTCACAGTGGCCCCGAGGATGCCCTGCTTCAGCTCATCTGGGGTCCCCAGCCCCTGCTTTAGCAGCCGTAACCTGGCAGTACTGAACTCCAGTGCAGTGGATACGCGCCTGGGCATGCAGAGGAGGCTGGGAACCCAAGGCCAGTGTGAGCCTGGATTTGGAGGCCAAAGTGCAGGAGCTGGAGGGACCTGTGGGCTATGGCCTGGTACTTAAGGGTAGATGGTGGGCATTTAACTGTGATAGAAGGCTCCCCAGCAGAGGCCTGTGCAGGGGATCCCTGTGACCCTGGGGAGGCCTTCCTGCCCCTCACCCGTCCATCCTGCCACAGGAGGACCTCTGATTCTGCTCTGTCAGCAGTGGCCCTAGAGTCCTAGTGCACTTGTGCCATGCCAGGGCTTGCACTAGAGCCCAGACTCAACCAGAGCTGTTGAAAGTGGGTAGATTTCTGCTGTCAGCCTTGCCTGTGACTCTGGCCACACCAGAGACTTGATTTACAGAGCTTTAAATCCGATGCCTTCAGTGGTTTTCTTTTTTCTGTTTTGTAGAGTTGGAAATATGGGAACTCTTCTAAAACTCCTCTCAGCTACAGTCTTCTGTCTCCCTCCATCCTCCCCTAGAAGTATCGTGTTAAATACCCTCCTGGGACCGTGACTAGAGTCTTCAGGCTGTAGATCAAGAGTTCTTTTCCTGAGTCTATGGACTTTGGATGGGCTTCAGGGGGCCCATTGGTCCCTAAAGTCTGCAGACTTCTGTGTTTATATGCATGTTTGCAGAGAGAGGGCCTGTCACTTCGTGTAGTTTCAAGAGGCTCCATGGTCCCCCATGGGCCCAGAACTGAGAGGTTCTTGCTATAAATGTACTCAGAGCTGGGCCTGGCCAAGGAGTTGAGTTCCAAGTATGACCCGGGATCTACCCAACATTACAGGTGGAACTGGGGCTCTGTGCTTGGGTGGGAGAGTAGGCTTTCTGGAGGCCAGAGGAGGCTAGAAGCAGAGGGTCATGCTAGCTGGCCAGGAGGGAGGGAGCAGGCAGGAGCCTCAGGCCCCCAGGGCTGACTGTGGTTGTGGATCAGGTTGTTCTGGGGAGCCTTGGGGCCCTGATGGGAGAACCTCGGAAATCCCTCCTGAGGGCATGGGCTCTACTCATCTCAATCTGATGATTACCTGGTGCCCTGCAGGGAGGGGCCGCAGTTGGAAGTTGTGGCTGCTCTGCTTTGTAAGTCCTGGTGGGAGTGGGTGGAGCAGGAGCCAGGCTCTTCTGACAGCAGGAGAGGAGGCAGAGGACAGGGAGGAAGGGAGCAGAGGCCAGCAAGGAGATTCCCAGAGGCTGTCAGGTCAGGAAGAAGAACTGCTTCTTGTTGCAAAGTAACCCTAAGCAAGGTAAGGGTGTTCCCTCCATGGAGCTGGACAGGCAGGAGCTCTGGGAACACATGCTGGAGGACTCAAGCCTCCTGCAGGGCCTCTGGGTGGGATGACCTCATCCCTTCCCGTCTCAGCCATGAGCTGTGTTATTCCAGCCTCTCAGTAGACATGACGCCATGCTGTGCCTAAGGTCAAAGGAAGAGCTGCTTGCACCTTGGGTTCTCCTGACTCCCGATGGGAGGGGTGAGAGGAAGAGCTCTGACTTGCCTACCCCATGGCCAGCCCCTTTCTGAGGCTCCTGTGTCTCCTATAACCAGGTCCTCCCTGGGGCTAGGGGAAGGCAGAGGCCATGGGTGCTCCCCTTCTTGCACCAAGAGCATCCAAGGGGTTCTCTGCCTGCCTCTAGGAGTGCACTGCAAGGACATTCCGGAGAGCCAGTGTGCAGGTAAAGTCAGGGAGGATTAAAATGCCCAGATAGCACATGTGCTGGTGGCGACAGAACCTGACCTCTGCAGCAAGTCACTTTGTGCCTGTTTCAAAGACCTCCCGGGCCTGGTTTTCATGAGAGACTAAGCAGATGTCCAAAGAGCTGAGGCAGCTGGCGGCTCTCCGGGCTCACTCACGCCTTCTACCATGTCCTCCCTGAGTTGTACCTGTTGGAGTAAGGTCCCCCGGCAGATCCACTAATTGCGTCCTCTTGGAATCAGTCCAGGCCACCTGGAAACCAGTCTAGGACTGAAGTGCACCTAATTAGGATGGGGCATATACCTGAAAAGACTGGTTTTTTTTTTTGTAGTGAAAGTTATTAGCCAGGTATGGTGGGCTCATGCCTCTAATCACAGCACTCTGAGAGGCTGAGGCAGGAGGATTGTTTGAGCTCAGAAGTTTGAGACCAGCCTGGGCAACATATTGAGACCTTGTCTCTACAAAAAAATACAACAAAAAACTGGACAAGGTGGCACATACCTGTAGTCCCAGCTACTCAGGAGGCTGAGGTGGGAGAATCTCCTGAACCCAGAAGGTTGAAGGTGCAGTAAGCCATGATCGTGCCACTGCACACCAGCCTGAGTGACAGAGTGAGACCTGGACTCACAAAACAAAACAAACATTTTCCCTGAACCTTGAGTTCACTTGGGAGTTTACTGGCTTGTTCAGGGAGTGGGGGTAGGGGATATCAGAGATGGCTCTCCCTTCTAGAAAACTCCAGAGAGAAGAGGGTGGCATTAACAAGCACCTGGAGTATTATTCTCACCAGTATAGATTCACGGTGCACTGGCATACCCTGGACCTTGACTAGGTCCTGTGGAACAGGGAGCTGTCCGGCCCATGCCTGAGCCAGGTGGCCACATCTTCTGTCCCAATACCTGGCACACTGAGGATTGGAGAGTGTGGGACTCCCAGCCCCAGCCTTCTTGCCCCTCCACAGGGGCAGTCACCCATGAATTTGAATACAAGGACTTAGACCACATCCACTCAGTGCCAGGCCCTAGGAGTGGAAGCCTAAGGACTTGTGGGGCTATGCCTTCCTGCTCAGAGACTCCAGCCAGGCCCCCCAAATAGACCCGTCACTGGCTTTAAAAATCATAGATGTTAATTATCACACTGACTCCTTTTGGGGAAAAGATAGGATGTAAATAAAGAAAGAAGGTGGGTAGGTCAGCTGCCTCATGGTCACACATGTAGACGTGGGTCTTATGTGTGACTCATGGTTGCCACAGGCGTGTGGGCTGTGTTCACATGGTCATGATGGTGGCTCTGGACACCAGGGAATGTCCTGGTCACCCTGGACCGGTGTGTCTCAGTGTAGTCACCCAGGGTGCTGGTGGCCCAGTGGTTTCCCGGGCCCACCCTGCACCTCCTGACTGGAAATTGTGGGCTCACCTCAGGAGGTCTGGGCCTTGCCAGTTGGGGGACTTGTGTGTGTGCTTGTCCCAGCTTCCTTCCTCGCTCAAGTCCTGCTGCACTGGGTGCCGGGCAGCATGGACCGTAGGAGTGTCACTCTCCACATCGATTCGGTATGGCCTGTCTCCGTGTGCTTGGCTGTGTCTCAAGAGACAGTGAGCTGTCGAAGCCAGGGCTGGCCCTCCAGGGCCCGGTCCCATCCTGGGTGTGCATGGGACACTCGGAGCCCCTTTCTGCAGCCATGGCCTCCTGTGCACGGGTTTGTGTGAGAAGTGCAGCTCATGCACCATGAGTCCTGGGCCAGGAGAAGGCGGTCAGGTCTCACTGTGGTGCTCTCGGGGGCATTAGACCTAGCCAGCCTGTCTTGAGCACCTGCCTTGTGCAAGGTCATTTCTGGCTGGGGTGGAGCATAAGGCAGGTTCCAGGATCACCCACTGGTGGTCCCAAGCAGAGTCCTGTCCCGAGATTCAAAGTGGGGAGGCCAGCAGGGAGGAGGCCAGCTGCTGGGGAGGCCGGCTCAGTGCTGCCCAGGCTGAGGCGCCTCCAGTCGACGCCCTGTGCGAGTGCCTGGCAGCCTCCCAGGAGTGGCTCATGGCCCCGCTGGCCTGATCGTGCTCTCCGGACGGGGTGTCCATGGCACAGGTTCTCCGAGCCAGACCCCAGCCACACGCTGGAGGAGCGCGTGGTGCACTGGTACTTCAGCCAGCTGGACAGCAACAGCAGCGGTGACATCAGCAAGCGAGAGATGAAGCCACTGAAGCGCTACGTGAAGAAGAAGGCCAAGCCCAAGAAGTGCGCGCGGCGCTTCACGGACTACTGCGACCTCAACAAGGACAAGGCCATCTCGTTGCCTGAGCTCAAGGGCTGCCTGGGTGTCAGCAAGGAAGGTGAGTGCTCCTGCCATGCTGCTGCAGGTAGGCCTTGCCCCACCCGGGCCAGGCCAGGGCCTCTCTCCATGAGCGAGTTACAGGTACCAGCTCTTCAGCAACTCTGGGAGTGTGAGATGCCCGCTGTGCTCCCTGCTGGGCCATGATGCCTGGGAGCATGCGGGGCTCCACGCTGGGTCATGATGCAACAGTGGGATAGATGGGCGAGGTCCAATCCTTACGCCAGAGGCCAGGTGAAGCCACATCCACACATGCTGTGAGGGAGATGGGAGGAGTGTGTCAGGACAGGCCATGCCACGGATGGATCAGACACTGTGGCTCTGAATGGTGTGATATATATTGTCTTGCCCGTGTGAGAGCTCAGCATGGCCCCGGTGAGGTGTGTGTGCACCTATGTGTGTGAGACAGAGAGCAGCATGGTTCCAGGTGTCGAGTGTGTATGTGCGTGTGTGTAGGGAAGGAGCGGGAGTGGAGATGGCCCGTGTGGTCACTCTGGCTTCCAGGCTGAGGTGACTCTGCCGTCTTCCCCATGTGGCTCCCAAAGTCACCCTGGAGGTCACTTCCACTCCCAGTCAGCCAGAGGAGGGTTATGGTTGGGTCCTGGAGTGACACAGGTCCCTTGTCACCTTTTTCTGAGCTGCCTGGCAGCAGGAGGGCTGAGAGGTATGAGGGCAGCATGGATCTGGGAGTACCCAGTCATCTTGTCAATAGAGTGCAGATTCTTTTAGGGACACCTCAGTGACTAGGAGCAGGCAGCCCTGGAAGGGGCAGTGCCTAACCAGGGCTCAGCAGCCGTGGCCCCAGGTCCAAGCTCGTGTGGCCTGTTTTGGTATGGCCCCATGAGAATGATTTTTGTGTTTTTAAAGGGCTGTGTTTTTATCTAAGAATATATGACAGGGACTATAACCGGCCCCCACAGCCTACAATAGTGACTGCCTGGTCCACCGCAGAGGACTTTGCCAGGCCATGGTGTACCCAGCACCTGCGGCAGGTGTAGGAGATGGCTGTGCAGAGGTCAGGAGGGGAAGGGTATTCTAAGTGGAGGCAGATGAGGCATGAGGTTCTAGAGGTGAAAAAACAGCATCTCCAGGATCTGAGTCATTCATATGACTGCTGTGCATATCGTGACTGACATGCATGTTTTAAGCTGGCAGAAGAGGGGTGGTGGCAAAACGCAGGGTGAGATGGGAGGTTTGTGTTTTTTTGTTTTGTTTTGTTTTTTTGAGTTGGGGTCTTACTCTATTGTCCAGGCTGAAGTGCAATGGCTCAACCATGGCTCACTGCAGCCTCCAACTTCTGGAGTCAGGTGATCCTTCCACCTCAGCCTGGTGAGTAGCCTGGTGGGACTACAGAGATGCATCACCATGCTCAGCTAATTTTTTGATTTTTTTGTAGAGATGAGGCCTCGCTATGTTGCCCAGGGTGGTCTTGAACTTCTGGGCTCAAGCAATCTTCCTGCCTTAGCCTCCCAAAGTGCTGGGATTACAAGTGTGAGCCACCCTGCCTGGCCATGGAAATTTTGACTTTATACAGGCAGCTGTTGAAGGGATTCAGTCAGAGAAATGATAGCATCCGTTTTGCTTAAAGGATAATTCCCAGCACTCTGGGAAGCCGAGGTGAGTGGAATGCCTGAGCCCGTGAGTTCAAGACCAACCTGGGCAACTTGGCGAGACCTCGTCTCTACAATAAATTTTTTAAAAAATCAGCTGGGTATGGTAGTGCACGCCTGTAGTTCTGACTACTTGGAAGGCTGAGGTGAAAGCCCAGCGAGTTGGCACTGGAGTGGCTGTGAGCGTGCCACTGCACTCCAGCCACTGCACTTCAGCTTGAGCGATGGAGTGAGACTCCAACTCAAAAAATTAAAAAAAAAGATTATTCTGACTGTAGGATAGGAGTGGATTGGAGACAAGCAAGACAGTTACCCGATAGGAGGCCAGAGGTGCTGGAGGCCAAATGATGGGAATCCAGAGGGACAGGATGAGGGATGGGGTGGATTGGAGACTCAGTGGGAACTGGACAGAGTCTGTGTGCTTGTGTCTGTGTGCATGCCCATGTGCGTGTGCATGCCCATGTCTGTTTGCATACTTGTGTCTGTTTATACCTGTGTCTATGTACATGCTGGTGTCTGTGTGCATGCCTGTGTGTGTATGCTTCCCTGTGTGTATGCATGCATTGCGCATATGTCTGCACATGCATGTGTGTGCATGTGTGATGGAGTGAGGAGAGCAGATAAGAGGAGGAGGGCTTATGGGCTGGGGTGGGAAGCTCCTTGGGAGGCAGGGCAGGAGTTACCTCTCTACTCTCCATCTCCACACATATCACACGTTCCCTGAGAGAGGCATGGCAGTTTGCTCCAGGTCCATGAGAGGCAGCAGTGCCACTAGTGCTCGGCTCAGCCCCAGGGCTACAAACAGACCTCTCTCTCTGAGAGAGGACTCCGAGTATTTGAGTGGCCATGGGAGTCCAGGGAAGTGGGGCGCAGGCCACCAGGGCCATGTGCACAGGAGCAGAGATGGCCAGGGCTGGGCCTGCCAGCCCTGAGCGGGAGCTGCAACATCTAGGCAGGTGGTGCCTGTAGGAAGGTGCCCTGCTGTCAAGAGGCCTGGGTGTGGCATGGGAACATAACCTGAGTTCGAGAGGGGGCGGGGCAGAAGCAGAGGCCCTAAGCCAGACCTCCGGCTTTTCATCCCAGCTCTGCCACTTGCTGTTCTGTGATCTTTGGCAAGTTATCTAAGCTCTCTAAGCTGCGGTTTCCTCATCTGCAAAATTGTGCTGATGGTGTTGACCTCATAGATCTGTTGGGAGAACTTAAAAAGATCTTAGCACAATACCTGGGCTGTATTGAGTACTTAGCACAGTACCTGGTGTGTAGTGAGTGCAGAAAAGATGTTAGTAGCAGCAGAGGAGACAGGCCCTGCGGTCCCCTCCATCCTTCTGCTCCTGGGGGAACAGGAAAACTACCTGGGTAGATGGTGTGGGCTCACTCAGGGAACCGGTCATGTCTTGGTCCTCTGGCATCATGCAGTGCCCCCTGGCGGACTGCAAGGGGCTTGCACACTTAATGGGGTGAAAGGAGGATAGAGAAGGAATGCAGAATTTTGGGTCTGAGGGACAGAATTTTGGGAAATGTCACATGGACACATATTTTTACCAACCAGACTCCTTACTAGGGAGCAGGATTCTCTGTGCAGCTGAAAGACCCAGGCCTCTCTAAATGGGCCTTTCCCGATATATAAAGCACCTTCACCAGGTCGCTGCCATATCCTTTGGGGCAGGCAAGTGGTCACAGTCCCTGTGGTTTTCAGAGCTGCTGACTTTTCCCATAGATTGTCTGAGGATACTGCCGCCTGGGATAAGGCTTGTGTCCCTGCCTTCCCTGGTGGCCCAGAGCATGGTACTATAGGCAGAGAGCCAGGTCCAAGCTTTTCCACCAATGAGAGCTGGGCCCTCCTGTGTCACTTGCCATCTCCAAGCCTCAGTTTTGCCATCATAAAAGAGGGGTAATTGGATCCCTTGCATCTGAAGCTGCCCTGAGGAGTGAGAGATAGCATGTAGGCAGAGGGGTTAGCGTGGTCAGAAGAGAGCTGGTCAGCACTGGCTGGGCCTTGGCTTCCAGTCTGGGGTTGGTGGGCAGCATGCCCGGGGCCACTCTTGGGTGCGCTGGGCCTTCTGCTCAGCAGCGAGAGGTGCAGCTGCTGGAGAGAGGCTGGCTCTGCCCCTTCCTGCCCGCCTGCCTGGGCCTGTCGCCCTCCAAGAGCATGACATCCTCTGCAGAATTGGATATACCTCCATCCACCTTGCACCCACTCCACCCGTGTTCTGTCCCTGTTTCTGAGGCCTTCAGGAATGTTGGCATGATCCAGGGACGAGGCTCTGGGTGGCTTAGCTCATGGGTGGGCATGGGCTCAGGAGCCCTGCCCACTCCACAGAGCCCTTGCCCCTCCTCGGTGTGCTCAGGCAATTCTGGGAGGGGACAGAGGCAACAGCGCAGCTGTGGGCCTGGTTCCCAGCCTAAAGACCCCCGGAAGGTGTGGGCCAGGCAGGGTCACCTGGCCCTCAGGGCCTGCAGGACTGCCCAGCTCTTGGTGTGCTGGCCACCTGGCCGTGACTCCTTCCAGGAGACCAGGCCCTCCAGAGCCCTCACACCTGGTGGAGAGGGGTATTGTCAGCAGAACCAGCCTGGGACCTCGTGTGAGCCCTTCATCTGCTCCTCGCCTCCTCGCCCAGACTTGCCACATGGAGGGGTGGACTGAATGATGGCCAAGACCCCTTCGACCTCTGGCGTCCTGTGACTTGGGGAGTTTCTACTTGTGCCCACTCATGCCAGGGCCCTTCTTGACGTATTGCTGAGGGGACTTTGACAGAGAAGTACTGCTGGGGCTGGACTCTGTTTATGGGTGCTGGCCAGCCGTGGGCTCACCGGGCAGGGCATGGCCACAGATGCCCACAGGACAGGGAGCAGACCCACCACTCCCGACCCCTTCCTAAGCCCACTCTTCATCCTGGGGTCAGAGGGGACAGGGACCCCAGCACAGGAGAGGTTCTGCCATTTCTCTGGGTTAAGGCCACTCTGTTAAGTGTTCCTGTCTGTTGCAGGTGGTGGCCCTGGCAGCTTTCCCCAGGGAAAGCGAGCAGGCACAAACCCGTTCAGTAAGTTGCCCCTCTGGGCTCCTGCCATCCTCTGCGGACCCCAGGGAAGCTTGGGCAGCACAGCAGGGTAATGGGGTTAGCCAGGCAGCTTGGGCTCCCATCTCCAAGGTCTTTGCTGAGGGCACAAAGAAGGCTGGCGTTCGAGCCAGGAGGGTGCTGCCACCCCTGCCTATACACGCACTCCTGCCATTGCTGCCCCAACTGGGATGGAAAACCTGGCATCTGAGAGCACGCAGATTTCTCCAGCATGCTCACAGGGCAGAGGACAGGCTGGTGAGATGCGCTTCCCTGCAAGTGTGGGCAGACTGTGGCCCGCTGGGCCCGTGAAAAGACTGCTCTTGCTGGGAGATGTAGCTGCATTTCTCTCAAAGTCAACTCTAACTTCCTCTCCTTCCACCTCCCTTCTTCTCGCCCTCCCCTCTCCCCAGCAGGACGCCTTGTCTAAGCAGCAGGAGACCCCAGGGCAGGAGGAGAGTCTGGGGAGACAGGATGGACCCCAGACCCCCACCCTCCAGCATTCCCCTGGCCCGGCCACATCCCGTGTAACATAAGCCGTGCCCGCCATGTCTGCACTTTTAATAACTCTTACTCACGTGTTGTGTTCTTGGTTTCATTTTTAAGCACCAATATCTAATACCGCAGTGGGACAAGGAAAGGGAAGAAAGACTGTTTATTCTTTCTGGTTGTAAGTGTTTGGATCTGCTACTGACAACTTTAAGGGTTTTTTTGGAGGGCAGGGGGTTTTGGTGACTGAGAAGAAAGAGATTTATATACTGTACATAAATATATTTGTAAATTGTATAGTTCTTTTGTACAGGTGTTAGAATTACTGTTTGTTTTCCCCTCCCTGTCTCTGCTGGGGGTGGTGGGCACTCAGGGTCCCAGGGTTCGACTTTCTAGAACTAGGACTCTCCCCCAGCCTGCCTGGATTCTTTTGGAGACTGGGCCTTGTGTGGGTAGAGAGGGCACCCTGAGGGTAGACTCTGTTGGGAGGAGAGCACTGCCTCATGCCACTGGCCAGCACAGTTGACAAGTCACTTGGCCCTGGCTTCTGCAGGGTGGTCAGGTCGGGGAGACACAGGCGTTGCCATGCGAGGAGGGGCGTCCAAGTCATGAGGTGGCCCGTGTTGCTGTGCTCCAGACCCCAAAGGGCCCAGGGTTGGTGGGTGCAGCAAGGTCTTGGCGACCCACTGAACAGGCAACCCCCAGAGGATTTGCATGAGGGCAGTTTAAACATGCCTGTGCATGTTGAGCATCTGCTCTATATAAAAAGCATGAGAAGAAGGCAAAGAAGGAAAAGACACGCAGAAGGGCCTTTTAGAGCAGATGTCGAGTATTGAAGCCACAGAGGGAGAGGATGGACAGCCTACGAGGCAGAGCATGGCGCCACCAGGGAGACCCCCCAGCCCACAGCAGAGCCACCACCAGGGAAGCACCCTGGTGTGGAGCGTCCGTGCAGGGCAGAGGGCCTGCCTGCAGCCTCCTCTCCCAGCCTCCCTCTGCCATCCTGGTGGGCAGCAGGGCTTGGGGTTTGGCCGCCCTGTTGGAAATGCTGCCGTTGCTTCTTTGTGCTCTCTTGTGACCCAGTGCCAAGGCTCTTTCTGTTCCCTGGCATCTTCTTACTAGCTTCTGGGCATTAGGCCAATTCCAGAAGTCAGGCTGATCTGGGGTCTCCTCCTTCTGACTCCCAGAAGGGCAGAGGTAGTAACCAGCTGTGGGGAAGCACCAAGATGCCAGTGTGGGCTGCCAGCCTTCAGGTCAGGAGCACAGCCGCCTCTGCCTGTCCTGATGGCTTCAGACAGAACAGCAAGTGACCGTGAGTGCCTCTGACCTGAGCAGCCATGGTGCAGCGAGGGAGGCCCTCTCACCCCGGACATCAGTTTCCCTTGGGACTGAGGCCTCATCTCTGGTTCTCTCCCAGTACCCCGTAGAGCTGTGTATCCCATTCAGTGTCTGAAAGTGCTGCCCAGGGATGGGCACAGCCCTCTAAGGACACGGTCTGATGGGGTCTTAGGCTGAGGAGGTCCCTGCTGTCCTGGAGAATGTCTTAGAGGTCATCGGGTGGCCCAATCCCGACATGGTAAGCTGGAAAGGAAGCCGCCTCCCTCAGCTTTGACCAGAGGACTCAGCCACCAGAGCTGCCTGGCCTGTGCAGGAGGCCCTGCCCATCTCCTGACCTGGGCAATGGGGACATGTGGGGAGGGAACCTGCTTGCAGAAGCTTCTAATCTTCCCTGGCACTGTGTCCCACATATGTGTAGGCCATATTGTGTGGTTTTCCTTTGTGAGGGAGGGAGGGAGGGAAACGGCTTGTAGCTTGTTTTATAAAAAATAAAAATGGGTAAACCTTGGCGGTGGCTGCCTCTTCCTTTGGGTGGGATTCTCTGAGGAGAAAGCTTCATTTCCTAGGAGGTTGTCCTTTCCCTGACCTGGGTCCTCCCCACTCTAATCCCAGGAAGTCTGAGTGCCGTTAATGATAGGCCCAGCGGGGACCCAGAAGTGGCCACCACAGAACCTGAGGTGGCACTTAGTGTGGGAATCCCTCGCCCACAGGACTGCACACTCTCTGATCCCTCCTCTGCCCTCTCCCTGTGTACCTGCCCCATGGGAGGCACCTCCCCCCCATCCTGACTCCTTCCCTCTCTCAGACCGTTGCTGGGGTGAGGAAATGGTAAAAGCTGGCAGCTTCTGGGCAGGGATGGGGGAGTGTGTTCTGTGGCTCCGGGTTGCTGGTGGTGGGTGTCTTGGCCTGACTCAGATCCCAAGACCCCAGGCTGGGTGCACCCGGAGGTGGGCTTAGACCCCAGTGGGGTTTCTGCTATCTGCCCCGTCTTGGGGGGCTGTGCTTCAGTTGCACTGCTGGTCTGGTTTGCCCAGCTGGAGGACTTCGGAAGGAATGGAGCAGGGTGGGTCCTGGCCTCTCTCTTGTTGGACTGGTCTCTTTCCTCTTGCCCTCTCTCCATACTCCGCAGTCCCTGGATGTGACCTCCTCAGCCACCCTCTTGAGAACCTTCTCAGATTCCTTTTGCCACACTCAACACCATGCCCATTGCAGGTAATTTCTCAGAGAATTTCTCTTGCAAAGCTCCCCACTCCGTCTTCTCCAACTAAGCTTTCCTGGGAGGGAGCTAGGCCCTCGATGTGGTCACACAGGCCCTTCCTCATCCAGGTTGCTCTCGCCTCACAGCTCAGAAGAGAGGATGGCCATCCCCTGCATGCTTTCCAAGGCCAGACACTGGCTGTTGCTCTGACTGGCCCTGGCATTTGGGACACTCACCACGACCCAGCGACATAAGTGTCCCTGTCCCCATTTCCAGTGTACATTCAGACCCCTGAGTTGGTGACTTGCTGGGGGGCTGCCCAGCTGGGAAGGCAGAGCAGGAGTCACTCCCACATCTGACTCCAGGCTCAGAGCTCTGCCCACTCCCCACTGCCTTCCTTGGGGGGCTAGAATGGCAACCCCCAACCCCCGTCCCCCTGGAGGGTGTCATTTTCCATCCCTTCCTAAAAGCCGTTGCTTTGCAGATGTCTGTCATGGTGAAGAGAAATAAGAGCCAGGCTCGGTGGCTCAGCCTGTAATCCTGTGCCTTGGGAGGGTGAGGTGAGTGGATTGCCTGAGGTGAGACCTCATCTCTACAACAAATCAAAAAATTAGCCGGGTATGGTAGCATGTGCCTGTAATTCCAGCTACTCGGAAGGCTGAGGCGGAAGGATTGCCGGAGCCCAGCAGGTCGAGGCTGTGGTGGCTGGGAGTGGCCACTGCACTCCAGTCTGGGCGACAGAGTGAGACTCCAACTCAAAAAAAAAAAGAGAAAGAAATAAGGAAGGTGGTTGGCCCTGCAGTGCTTCCACGGAGGTTTGGGCTTGCATCCTTGACTTTCACCAGGGGCTGGGAGACCATGCCAGGGGTGGTGCAGGAGAGACCTGTCCTGCTGAGGGAAGACAGGGGCCCTCTTCAGGGGGGTGTTGAGTGGTGACAGCTGCTGGGCCAGTGTCTTTCCAGGAGGCTCCCCGAGCCGAGAGGGTCAGAATGGGTTGTAAGCAGCACCCGACACCTTTGTTGATGGAAAGCCTAGAGATAGCCAGGCTGCGCCTCGGGCTGTAAATGACTCCTAAATGGGCCAAGGCCACAGGTGCCCACCAAGGAGGCTGGAGACCTCTGTGACTCCCCGTCCTCCTGGGCTGTGGCCTTTGGCTTTTTTCCACAATCCAGGTGGGGACAGACAAAACTTGACCTCTTCACACAGTGCCACCAAACCAAGCTGTGAGTCCTAGGGCCTGGGTTGCCTATGCCTTGTTTTTTTTTTTTTTTTTTTTAGTTGGAGTCTCACTCTGTCGCCCAGACTGGAGTGCAATAGCCGCTCCCGGCCACCACAGCCTTGACCTGCTGGGCTCCGGCGATCCTTCCTCCTCAGCCTTCCAAGTAGCTGAAACTACAGGCGCACGCTACCACACCTGGCTAATTTTTTGACTTATTGTAGAGATGAGGGCTCGCCAAGTTGCCCAGGGGGGTCTCGAACTCGCGGGCTCAGGCAATCCACTCACCTCAGCCTCCCAAGGCACGGGATTACAGGCTGAGCCACCAAGCCCGGCTGCCTATACCTTTTGTGTGACTCATGCGTTGATAAGAAAAGGGCCATGACTGGGCATGGTGGCTCATGCTTGTAATTCCAGCACTTTGGGAGGCTGAGGCGGTAGGATTGCTTAAGCTTAGGAGTTCGAGACCAGCCTAGGCAACATAGCACGACCTCTTCTCTACAAAAAAATTAACTAGGTGTGGTGGCATGCACCTGTAGTTCCAACTTCTTGGAAGGCTGGGGCAGAAGGATTGCCTGAGCCCAAGAGTTGGAGGCTGCAGTGAGCCACCATGATCGTGCCACTGCCCTTCAGCCTGGGCAACAGAGTAAGACTCCAACTCAAAAAACATAAAAAATAAAAAATAATAAAATGAAAAGGGCCATGCCCACCTACTTCCCCAAAGCCTGCAACACAGGTGTCTCGTCATTTGTCAAATCCAGATAGAATGCCTTGGCCAGTTCTCTCTACCCTTCGCCTCCTCCCCCAGCCTACCCCTCTTGCGGGCAGCCATCCTACCTCCTCCTTTCTGTGACAGGCACACCCTCTAAGAGCTCTTGCCTGCCTCCCCCTAGCCAAGGAGGGAGGATGTGGGAAGGAAGGAGGATGAGAGGGATAAAGGGAGGGTGAGAGGAAGAAGGAGAGAGGGAGGAGAGAGGGAGGGACAGAGAAAGGGAGGGACAGAGAGAGGGAGGAAGGGCGAGAGGGGGAGGAGGAGACATGGAGGGAGGGAGGAAGGGGAAGAGGAACAGTGGCTCTCCCCCTGGGGGCACACCGAATTCCCTGGGAAGGCTGTTAAACACAAGCTGCCGGGGCAGCTCCCAGAGGTCTGGAGTGGAGTCTGGGGTGGAGCCTGTGAATCTGCATTTTTCATCCCTTCCCAGGTGATGCTGATGTTACTGACCTGGGGACAGCACCTCGAGAGTCCTTGGCTGGAGTCTGACTTCTTGTGTTAGGTGACTCTGAGCCTCGTCCTGGTGCTGCTAAGCAGCTGTACACTCTCGGCAAAGCACTTGTCTGCTCCGAGGCTGTTTCTCCATTTGTAAAATGGTGATAATGATCCTTTTCTGGAGGGTGGTCAAGGAGGCTCAGTGAGATGACCACCTGGCACAAAACTACGGCTTCCCATCTGTGTGACTGCCACCTCCTCTTCCTCTTTCTCCTCCTCCTCCTCCTCTTCCTCCTCCCTCTCCTCCCCCTCCGCTTCCTCCCCTTCTTCTCCCCCTCTTCTTCCCCCTTCTCCT